CTTTAAGGGTATAATACTGTGAAAGTATTAAAAATATTAGTGAAAGTATTAATAATAAAATTTATTTTGTACTGTACGGAATAAATAGAAGTAACAATAGTAAACATCAATATCAGATTGATGAATTCTTGTTTTACTAGCTTTTGTGAAAGTTAAAGTAAATGACCTTGGTAAAGCGCCATAATAAACCGAGGCTGTTTCTACCTCATAGGTATTGCAGCCAATCATAACCTAAACATTTGCACTAACAAACTTGTACTCATGTCAAAACATTATCTCAATTTTTGTATATAAATCCCATCCAGACTTTATTTATTTTATTTCTAACTCGTTGCTTGCATTTGATTTTCACGATATTGTGTGTTTTGATAAAATATTATATTATTGTACTTTTTAGTACAATTTAAATATTATTTATGATTTTATAAATGAAAATAATAGTTTAAGTTCAAGATATAATAATTCAGTAAAACAACTATAATTAAAAATGTTTGATAAAAGTTTTGAAAGTTATACAAATTGGTTGATTACAGTCGCCATCGGTTTAATAACAGTATATTTAGTAAAATTTTATGCCAAAGTTTATTCCCTACCCCGGGGGCCGTTCCCACTCCCGGTTGTGGGTAATATATTGCGTAAGTATTAAACGATGAACATGATTAATTAGAATTTTAATTGTAAACATGCTTAATTAAAACATTTTAAATAGTGTTCAGAAATACAAAAGTGAATCAATTCGAGACAATCACTGAATTGCATAAAACCTATGGACCGGTGTATACGCTATGGTTGGGTTGGCAGCCATTGGTGTCCATCTCTGACTATAATTTAATTAAAACCGGATTTAATTCCAAGAATAATGAATTGATGGGAAGAAACAGAATTGGTTTCGCAAAAATACTACTTCAGGGCGGATGTGATGTCGTGTTCACAGATCACGGGCCAGTTTGGGCCAGTCTTAGACGTGTCGCACACTCGGCGGTCAGGTATGTCAATGAGTAGTGAATTTATTGTGATTGCAATTATCTATAAATTTAATATGAATTACATTATGATTAGAAAACTAGCCATAAGTGAGAGGTTGTCTGATTTGGTGGACGATGTCGTCGACGAGACCGTTCAGACCATGAAGAAGACACACCCGATTGGCACACCATTTAATCCCAAGAGTTTTATTTACGCCAATGTAGTCAATATAATCGCTTCGTCCACTTTTGGCAAACGGTATGTTTTAAACACAAAAACTAAAATAAAATTCTGTCAAACAATTAATTATTGTATTTAAAACTTAACAACAATTAGGTATCAGTTCGGAGACGAAGAGCTGAAGTTCATTGAGAATAGTTTTGAATGCTTTAGAGCCAACACTACTGATCTGGTTCTTGTGGATCAGATGCCTGTCCTGCGACTCGTCCCGAAATACGCCAAAACTGCGGCCAAAACTATACAAACACTTGAGGCGATGACCACTAGAGTTAAACAGCAATACTTGTCTCGCCTGAACTGGGTAAGGAGCCCACAGCAGTTACTGAAGACACTGCGAGAGTAACTCCGATTTCTCCTCCGGTAAGTCCTCCGCTTCCTTTCGCGGCGGCGAAACTGTCTGGTATTGGACAGTGAGCAATAATACGACTTGTTTTTAGGTTTGAATGTTTTAAATGATTTTTATGAACGCTTTATAAACGAATAATTATGAAATGATCATATGTTTAGTGGATTTTTGCCTAATATATTACTGTAATTTATAGCCGGTTCGGACAGTTGAGTCATACAAAACGCTACCTAAGATGATAACTACCGTTTGTTGTGACTTTACGTCTAAGTCTACTCCCTACTCTAGCTCAGACACTAGCCGCTATCTCACCGGTGATTACTCCTGTTTTTAGTGTGTCATTTTGTTAACGCTTTCATTGCGGAGACACTTCGGTATAGAGGGGTCGCACCCGTGGGTTTGCCACACGTTGCTCTCTGTGATATGCAACTTGGTAATTTTAGTGATTTTTAATTACCTGTATTATAATAATTGAATACTTAATAACTTGCCTTTATTTTTAAATAGATAAATATCACATAAAAGCTGGCTCACTTGTACTAGGCAACATATTGGCCATAACACAAGACCAGACTCTATGGCCAAATCCCGAAGTGTTTGATCCCAAGAGGTTTCTCACAAGTGATGGTAACTTCACGTCAAACATCCCGGGCTTTCATCCCTTCGGAATCGGACGGCGCGTATGTTTGGGCGAAAAGCTGGCGCTCGCGGACCTGTTCTTCATAACAGTGCGTCTCTTGAAGTCGACCAATGAGTGTGTGTTTGCGTTACCGACGGGCGACGGATCCGCGGACTTACGGCCCGACCCTAACATACTATTGCTGTGCTCTCCTAAGCCCTACGAAATTATGCTTAAAATGAGATAAATTGAAGTAAAATTAAATTACTATAAAATTTACAAAATAAATACTGTATGATAATATTTTTATTAATTATTATACTTATCTGATTGTGCATAGCTCAACAACAACAAAAAATTCATTTAATAAATTGTATCAATTATTATAATATTGTGTGGATTATAGTTTAATTAAACTACCATTAACAAATTTAACATTGTATACTTAAATTACATTCTTATTAAAAATATAAGTTACTTACTTTTTAAAATTAATTACTTTTTCATCTTACTATAATATTCCAAGCCAATTGTTAATTCCTAGTTACCAAGTTTATTTGAGTCAACTGCATTTATTTAATATTGGCAAATAATTAAAACATCAGTCTGTAATATGTTATATAATTATTGTTTTCTCTATTACATCACTTAAAGTATATCAAACACACACTTTTATATTAAAATAATACAATATTTTCTATATTTAATATTTAGTAAACACTAATTATTTTGTTATTATTTAAATGTAAAAATAAATTATCACGTTAAACTTTAAGTGAATTTAAGTTGTACTGTATAGTTTTTATTATGTGTTTAGTATACGTTTAATTAATTAATCGCATTGGTAGTATTGAAACGCTGTTAAGGCAAACAACCTTGGGTGCAATCGTGTCGTCATAATAAACTGGCAACTTGTGGGGACTTTACTAACTCAAATCGGCACCGGTTTAGTAAATGTCCCCAATTATCAGTAGTTATCACTTGTGTTTTTATTATATATTGTAGTGTAAGTCATTTATGTGTTTCGCATTAAAAGCAACACACTATCAATGTATTGATAAATCTGTCATTACACTTTAATACATCGTTTTTTGTACTAAAGTTGTACTAAAGTTTCAGCCCTAGTTATCAGTAAAAAGTGTTTATAATTGTGTTGAAATCTTGAATTAAATCTATGATTTGTGTATTATGTGATAAAATAATTTATGTGCTAAAACATTAAGTATTTCATGAGTATATAAGTGTTAGTAACTATTCATTTGATATTCATTATATAATTTGCGACAATATAATTAAGAGTTCCAAAATATTATTTTAAAGACTGATTTTATTTAAGTTTTCATTTGAAAATGTTTGAACAAAATTATATATATCTAATCAATTGGTTAATAACAGTCGGCATCGGTTTAATAACAGTATATTTAGTGAGATTTTATGTAAAAGTGTTTTCTCAACCCCGGGGTCCGTTCCCACTTCCAATTATTGGCAATGCTTTGCGTAAGTATTTAATGATTTAATTTATGCTAATTTGTTAATTGTTATTAAAAACTATTTATTTTCGTATCGGAATCAGTGTTCAGAAATACAACAGAAACTCAATTTGTAATAATGAATGAATTGCACAAAACGTATGGACCGGTGTATACTATGTGGTTGGGGTGGACACCAATTGTGGTCATATCGGGAATGAATTTAATTAAAACCGCATTTAATTCAAAAAACAACGAATTGATGGGAAGACCGAAAAATAGCATCACTGAAACACTGTTGGCGTCGGGCAGTGACGTCGCCTTCACAAATCACGGACCCGTTTGGGCCAGTCTTAGACGTGTCGCACACTCGGCGGTCAGGTATGTCAATGAGTAGTGAATTTATTGTCATTTCAATTACTTATAATTTTATTTATAAATTACGTTATAATTAGAAAATTAGCCATAAGTGAGAAGTTGTCTGATTTGGTGGACGATGTTGTCAGCGAAACCACTGATACCATGATTAAGACACATCCAATTGGGACACCATTTAATCCCAAGAGTTTTATTTACGCCAATGTATTCAATATAATCGCTTCGTCCGCTTTTGGCAAACGGTATGTTTTAACAGTTAATATTCACAAAATATGTATTAAATAACAATTAATATTTTTTATTTCATATATTTAGATACAAGTTTGGGGACAAAGAGCTCAAGTTTTTAGAGCAAAGTTTTGAGGACTTTAGAAACAACACCAATGATCTGGTGATTTGCGATCGCATACCTGTCCTCAAAAAGTTGCCAAAATATGCCAACATTTTGCGAAAAACATTACAAACTTTAAAGGGTTTGTCAGGATTTGTGAGACAGCAATATATGGATCACTTGGAGACCCATTCCTCGGGTGTCGTCAATGACTTCTGTGACGCTCTCATTGAGGCTAAAGAGGAGGCCATTCAGGAGGCGAAGGAAAGCGCCGCCGCTTTGATTGATACTAACCTTTCACTCGTTATTGTGAATATATTTATAGGTTTGATAATCACATTTTGATTAATTAATTAAATAAATATTAATAATTATAATTAATTTATATGTATAGCCGGTTCGGACACAACTCAATATACTTTGCGATGGATTCTACTATTAATGGCAAACAACACTGAAATGCAGATTCAGATGAGGGATGAGATCGAGTCTGTGATCGGCGATAGAGTGGCCACTCATGAGGACAGAAATGAATGCCATTTTGTTAACGCTTTCATCGCTGAAGTATTACGTTATAGAAATGTTACGCCATTAGGTCTGCCACATGTGGCCATGTCTGATATGCAACTTGGTAATTATTTATACCATGTTTACTAGACACCTATTTTAATAAATAATTTTTATATTTAGATAAATATCACATAAAAGAGGGAGCATTTGTTTTTGGTAATCTAATATCGGTAAATCGTGATCCAAACCTATGGCCAAATCCCGAAGTGTTTGATCCCAAGAGGTTTCTCACAAGTAATGGTAAATTCGTGTCAAACATCCCGGGCTTTCATCCCTTCGGAATCGGACGGCGCGTATGTATTGGCGAAAAGCTGGCGCTCGCGGACCTGTTCTTCATAACAGTGCGTCTCTTGAAGTCGACCAATGAGTGTGTGTTGTGTCAAACATCCCGGGCTTTCATCCCTTCGGAATCGGACGGCGCGTATGTATTGGCGAAAAGCTGGCGCTCGCGGACCTGTTCTTCATAACAGTGCGTCTCTTGAAGTCGACCAATGAGTGTGTGTTTGCGTTACCGACGGGCGACGGATCCGCGGACTTACAGCCCGACCCCAACATACTATTGCTGAGTAGTCCAAAGCCCTACGAAATTATGCTTAAAATAAGATAATTTTTACAATGTATTAGAAGAGTCCTTTATATTTCTTATATAAATTCATGTATACTGTATATAAAATATTTTCCAAAATTATAATATTATTAAAATATAATTAAAGCTTAAAGCATCTGAACTTTTATCAAAAAATATTTATTTTAAGGGCAAAACATATATAGACTGTATGTTATTTAAAATCGCATTTAATTTTTATAACTTAAATTTATAAAATATACTTTTAATAAAATATTATTATTTCTGTTAATCATAAATCAAACAATTAAATTGTTATTAATTAAATCAAGTGAAAATTTTTTATTTGTTATGCAATAAACATTATGATGATTAATGCATTTCATATATGATTATCACAAGTTAGCTTAAATTTTTAGTTTTTATTTTATTATTATCAATTTATAAAATAGTTTATAAATATTCACTTTTTGTTATTTACTGTATACAATAAAATTATTTGTTACTGTTAAATTAATGTCAAATACCTTGTTTATCATGCATGCACATTTATAATGTAAGAATAAATAATGGATTCTTCAGATAATATTCAGTACAAACAACCTTGATTGACTCAATTTTGTCGTCATAATTAACTGTGATTTTTTTTACTTAAATTATCTCCTTTACATTATCTGTCCAATAGTGTAAACTAAACAAATGTTTATCATGTTTAAATATTAAGTTAAGTTTACATGTGTGTTATGTGTTATATAAACAAACGGTATATTAAATAGCTGTACACGAAATAATTAACTCAAAATTGTTTACATATTATTCTTGTAAATAACGTATATATAAAGAGTCAAAACATTCTGTATTTTATTAATATAAAAGTTTTAGAAACTTTTTATGTGGTATTTAATACATGATTGACAACAGACTACTCAACAGTTTTAAAACATTATTTTCAATTTCATTTTTATAAAAGTTGTGTTTCCAGAAAATGCTTGACCAAAATTATCAACATTTAATCAATTGGTTAGTAACAGTCGGTATCGGTTTAATAACCGTATATTTGGTGCGATTCTATGTAAAAGTGTTTTCCCTACCCCGGGGTCCGTTCCCACTGCCCGTTGTGGGCAATGCGTTGCGTAAGTATTCAATTGCTTAGTTTAGTAATTATTTTAATAAATATTATTTTTAATTTATTTTGTATATCAGTATTTAGAAATACAAAAGTGAATCAATTCGTGACAATCAATGAATTGCACCAAATCTATGGCCCGGTGTTTACCCTATGGATTGGCGGAACACCAATGGTTATGATCGCGGGTTTGAATTTAATTAAAACAGCATTTAATTCAAAACACAACGAATTAATGGGAAGACCAAAGACGGCGTTCAGCGAAGCGCTGTTGCAGTCGGGCAGTGACGTCGCCTTCACAGATCACGGCCCGGTTTGGGCCAGTCTTAGACGTGTCGCACACTCGGCGGTCAGGTATGTCAATGAGTAGTGAATTGATTGTAATTATATTTACTTATAATTTTATTGTAAATTACGTTATAACCAGAAAACTAGCCATAAGTGAGAAGTTGTCTGATTTGGTGGACGATGTCGTCGACGAGACCGTACAGACCATGAAGAAGACATATCCAATTGGCAAACCATTTAATCCCAAGAGTTTTATTTACGCCAATGTTTTCAATATAATCGCTTCGTCCGCTTTTGGCAAACGGTATGTCTCTAAACAAAAAATTGTTACAAAATTTTATGTTAAATAATGTTTAATAAATGATTATTTTTATGGACACAATTAGATACCAGTTTGAAGACAAAGAGCTCAAGTATTTAGAGGAAACATTTGAGTACTTTAGGGCCAACTCTAACGCGTTGTTAATTTGCGATCGCATACCTGTCCTCAAATTGTACCCAAAATACGCCAAAGTATTTACAAAAACTATGCAAACAATGAGAGGTCTGTCAGTGTTTGCGAGAAAGCAATATATGGATCACCTGAAGACCCATTCCTCGGGTGTCGTCAACGACTTCTGTGACGCTCTCATTGAGGCTAAAAAGGAGGCCATTCAGGAGGCAAAGGAAAGCGCATCCGATTTGACCGATAAAAATCTTTCGCTCGTTATTATGGACTTATTTTTTGGTTTGAAAATTGAAATTTTGAATTAAATTACATATTTACTAATTTATTATTTTATATGTAAAGCCGGTTCCGACACATCTCAGTATATGATGCGATGGATTCTACTATTGATGGCAAACAACACAGAAATGCAGATTCAGATGAGGGATGAGATCGAGTCTGTGATCGGCGATAGAGTGGCCACTCATGAGGACAGAAATGAATGCCATTTTGTTAACGCTTTCATTGCGGAGACACTTCGGTATAGAGGGGTCGCACCCATTGGTATTCCTCACGTGGCGATGTGTGACATGCAATTGGGTACATTAATTTATACAAGTCATCTTATTACATAATAATTATACCTTGTTAATCTTTACACATGAAATAATATTAATAAATTAATCGCTATTTAGATAAATATCACATAAAAGAGGGCACTTTTGTGATGGGAAATCTGTTGTCTGTTAATCGTGATCCAAACTTGTGGCCAAATCCCGAAGTATTTGATCCCAAGAGATTCCTCACAAGTGATGGTAAATTCGTGTCAAACATCCCGGGGTTCACACCCTTTGGTATCGGCCGTCGTATATGTTTGGGCGAAAAGCTGGCGCTCGCGGACCTGTTCTTCATAACAGTGCGTCTCTTGAAGTCGACCAATGAGTGTGTGTTTGCGTTACCGACGGGCGACGGATCCGCCGACTTAGACCCCAACCCCGATATACTGTTACTAAACACCCCAAAGCCCTACGAAATTATGCTAAAAACCAGATAAACGTTTTTTATCACGTATCTGTATATTTTTTATTAGCCATTTATAAATACAGTATAAATTATTAAATATGTCTTTGTAATTTTTATTTTTATATCATTAAATTTATATAATAATTATTTAACCAAAAGTCCTTCACATAAGATTAAATTAATTATAATATTTATCGAAGTATTTTATACAGAATAAATTGAATATATCTTGGAGAATTTAATTTATATAAAATGTATAGCATAATTATATCGGCCAATTGTATTCAGGCAATGAGTATAATAGTATGCGGTTTCTCGATATGGTTGGGTTGTGCCCTACATTTGAAGCTTATATTCCCGGAAGTTTATCGGAAAATACAATTATCACTAGGGTGACCAACCGTCCAGGTTTGGCCGGGACAGACCCTGTTTTGACCATTTTGTCCCGGCAGGGTTTTTATAGATACCATTGAGCGTCCCGGGGAAAATTAGATTTAACTAAAAAATATCTGGGTAAATTATGAAATGTCTTGTAATGTCCCGGAATTTTCTATAATTTTCATGAAATGTCCCGGTTT